CTCTTCCTTCTCTCTTAGGGTTATTTTATGCTGCCTCTCTTGCGGCTTCTTTTCTCAAGAAATCATAAAGAAAGACTAAAGCAAGGAGTGTCTGGTGTGCTTGGGTGATGCTGATAGCAGTCAGGGCTTTAGGATGTCGGGAGGAAGAAGGGGTAAGATAGAGATGGAAAAGACATTAGAGGAAATTCTGCAGTTCAGAAGAGAAAAAAGGAGAGGCATTGTTATCTTCATTTGCAGACAGCAGAAGTAAGCCTAGCGGGCACCTCCAGTTAAACTAAATATATGAGTAAGAGTCCTTTTAAGCAAGGCAAAGTAGTATTTTGTTTGTTTGCACAGGGAGAGCTTCAGAGCCTGATAGCAAGTCTCCAGAGATTCAAATGAACTTTTCACAATAGGATGATTATCTGAATTAATTCTAGATGATTTTTCCTTTTTCTAACGTTTGACTCCTGCACTGTCCTCCTCTGGTTTTTGCTGCACTAAATTAGCTTTGTGAACATCAGTACATTAGCGTTACCAAATCAGTATCTCATGTCAAGTTGAGAACTTTCTATTATAGTCAGTGATGGTTGACTGAAGTATTTATCCCAACCTGAGGAATCCAGTTATCCACCAAAACTGTTTTGAACTGAGAGATTCTGCATGTTTTCCTATTATTCTTTGCTTTGTTTTGCTGTTCAGTTAGGAAACTTGGTCTTGGTTATAATCCATGCTGTTTGCCAACAATGGTAAACACTGTTTGTATGTTTATACTAATAAGCACACTGAAGTATTGCACTGTTTGATGTTCCAAAAAATGATGCCTACATATTTATTTGCTCTTATAGATAATTGACAAGAGTAAAAGAGATCCAACAGAAGAAATTGAAATCCTACTGCGCTACGGACAGCATCCAAATATTATTACCCTAAAAGATGTAAGTACAGTGGTAAACATCTGTTAGTGTATTGTAATTGTATATCACTTTTTAACCTAAGAGATTACAAAGTCCATGGCACATGTTCCATAAAGGAAGCGAAGACAGTAGTATAATTTTTGCTTATTTCTACTCGAGGGCATTTTTTTAGGGAAAGTTTATGGAAATATGCCCAGTGTAAGAAAAGAAACCTGGGATTCATATGTATCTGAAATTCGTATGGATTCGTATGGAGTATGTCCACTGCAGCAGAAACTCAACATTGTTTTAAAGAAGTTTTCATTGTTTTCATATAGATGCGTTGGTCAAATTCCTTGCGTTTTCCACAATATATTGGTGCTCTATTACAGCTTTCAAAAGAAAAAGTAAGAAGTGTGGGGCATTTCGACCTCAAACTCATTGAGAACACGACGTATTATTACACAGGTGTAACTTAGTATTGATTTGACTCACTTTTCGTTCAGTTCCACAGCCAAAATTTAACTGTTTCTATTTTGAAATGCCAAAATATAATGTTTCAGCATTTCTAAGTGCTTGTCTTGGAAAATATTTCTTCTGCAAGAAATAATTGCTTTCTTACTTTCCTTGTAACTGCAGCATAAATGCAGTAATATTTGACTTAGGATGAAAATTTTTGTTCTGGCTCAGCCTTATTTATGTAATTTAATTCTGAAAGTGTTTGTACTGGAACAATGGATATTCAGAACACCAAATTCTTTCTGCAGTGCAGGTTCCTCTGTGTTTTTTTTCTTATGATTGTTATCAGTGGTCTTTTTCAGTTACATAGCATTAAAACAAAAGAAGGAGCTATACTGTGCTAAATCAGATGTCCTTATCCAATATCCTGCCTCTTAACAGTGGCCAGTAATGGATGCCTAGGAAACGGTGTAAGGACTGAGGAAGCACACAGCTTCCAACAGTCCATTCCCTAGGAACTTCCTGTGCCACACCATTATATATATATATATATTTTTAAACCTGTCGTTACTTACTCCTCTATAACTCCTCTATATAGCTTTTATCCTGTTTTGAATTAAGTTCTTCAAAACATTTGGTGAAGAACCTTTTCAGAAGCTTTTTGGAAACCTGAATACTTTATATCGACCCAGTTTCCCTGTCCAAGTGCTTCAAACTTCAAAAAACTCCGAATGCATATATGTGAAATACGATTTTACTTTAAAAAAGCCATATTGGCTCTATCCATTAGATTGTATTTTATTCATGTTGTCTACATCTTCTGATTTTTCGCTGTAGCTTCTTCTAGTTTGCCTGGTAGAGACGATGTACTGACTGATCTTTAGTAGCCTTTGGGATCTCCCAGGGGTTCATTTTAAAAAATGGCATCACATTTACCAGTTCACCATAATACTGTGCACTTAACTGTCAAAGAAATTTCAATAGCATTTATTCAGTACAAACGGCTTCCTGAGATTGGACAGTAAAATTGATAGTACCATTAGAGAGATTTTAAGCGGTTGGGGTGGGGAGGGCTTTTTTGGTTGGTTGTTTTTTTCAACCAGACAGGATCAGCAAGGGACGAGCAGATAAAATATTATCTGAAACCAGATTTTGTTTGAATGTCCCTTTGTAATACTTGAATGTGCGTGCTTCATAGTGTCAGGATGAAATAAGCTTCTTTCTTCCCGTTTTACCAGGATTTATGCCTATTAAAAAAAATGCTTTGATTCTAAAATGCCATTTTAGTATCTAGAATTAAGTAATTCTGCTTTTCAGTACTGCATAACATTTAAAGACTTAATACAAATGCATTCAGATGATCTTCAGTCATTTATATTTCATGATAAAGATTACTGAGAACATAGAAATCTGTCATGTCTCCCTCTCCTCAAGAACATAAGCTTATAAAGTCTGCAGAATTATTTAACACCTTTCCTCTTTTTTTTTCTTTGTGAGCAAACTGTTCTTTTAATATACTTAAATGCACAAACTTCTAACCTTAGAAAATTTCAGTTTTCAAACTGACACAAATTTGAGTTATTCCAAGTCTTTAGCCTATATTTGCCTATATTTGCCAGACAGTTTAAGAGGAGGAAATTGGAATAACTTTTTCTTAATGTAATTATCTATTCCTAAATGTATTTTACCGCACCTTGGACAACTTTTTCTGCTTAAATACAAATTAGTTATTTCACATATATTAAACAGGAGAACTTCATCATGAAGAAACAGGTGCTGAAATAATGAGAGACAGTTTGTAAAAGGTTTCTCTAAAGCAGAAACCAATTTCTGAGTTAAATTTAATTTAAAGCCCCAAAGAAGTACAACTGAAATGAAATGCTTTAAGTATTCAATTAAAATGTGTTTCTGTATAGTTTACAGTCTGTAGTGCCCCCTGGCGATAACACAAATAATTTCACAGAATCATGGAATACCTGGGGTTGAGAGGGACCTCTGGAGATCCTTCAGTCCACCTAGAGTCACCTAGAGCAGGTTTCCCAGGACCGTGTGTCCAGTCAGGCTTTGAATATTTCCAAAGATGGCGACTCCACAACCTCTCTGGGCAACCTGTTCCAGGGCTCAGTCACCCTCACAGAGAAGAGGCATTTTCTTACGATCAGACAGAATTCCCTCTGCGTCAGTTTGTGCCCATTGCGTCTTATCCTGTCACTGGGCACCGCTGAAAAGAGTCTGGCCCCGTCCTCTTGACACCCTCCCACCAGATATTTATACAAATTGCTAATATCCTCCTGAGTCTTCTCTTCTGCAGGCTGAAGAGTCCCAGTTCTCTCTACCTGTCCTCACATGAGAGGTGCTCCAGTCCCTCAATAGAGGGAAGGATCACCTCCCTCAACCTGCTGGCAACGCTCTGCCTAGGGCAGCCCAGGATACCATTGGTCCTCCTTGCTATGAAAGTGCCCATGGTCAACTTGGTCTCCACCAGGACCCCCAGGTCCTTCTCTGCAAAGCTGCTCTCCAGACAGTTGGCCCCCAGTCTGTGCTGATGCCTGGAGTTTTTCCTCCCTAGGTGCAAGACTTGGCACTTGCCTTTGCTGAGCCTCACAAGGTTGCTCTCTGCCCATTTCTCAACTATTGTTACCTAAAAAGATAAAAGCCACGTGAAAATTGAGTCACTTAAGCAATTTTCCGTAATTAAAAATATGGGCTTAAGGATACACATTGATTTCTGAGTTTGGAACAGGCTTTATGTGCAGAGTAATGTGCTAGTCGCAGGCTTTCATCATGGTAACTTTTTGTGCGTTAACTTCAGTGTTCACAGAGATATTATTTGAGGTGAACTTCAATTTTATTTTTATAGTGTCTGACTGTTCACTGGGAATGACCCCTGTTCATGTTTGTAATTTGGTGCAATAATTGATACTTGATATCTTTGTAGTTAGCTTTGTGTTTGAAGATGAATAGTGTTTGAATAGCATGTGGGGAGAGGAAACATGGGAAAAGTAATTAAAGTGGCTCATCTAATCAAAACAGCTTGTCGACCCACCTGCCCTACCTATGCATTTCATAGGAAGATAGAAGAGAATAAGTATTTTTAAAGTTTACATATTTATTTTTTGCAGGTGTATGATGATGGAAAATATGTATACGTAGTAACAGAACTTATGAAAGGAGGAGAACTGCTGGATAAAATTCTTAGGCAAAAATTTTTCTCAGAACGGGAAGCTAGTGCTGTCTTGTTCACAATAACAAAAACTGTTGAATACCTCCATGCACAAGGGGTAAGTGTTCATCTTGGACAAAAAGCATAAAATGGCTAGTATTCTTCTCTTTCAGATATATACACCTGCATCTTTGTGCTCTTCTGTGCAGTAGCTAAGCAATTTCTGGTAAATAATTACATTGCAAAAGACATTTTTGCTGAAACCTCAAGGATTCTGTAGGTGTCCAGGTAGCAGAAAGCACCATGCTTTCTCTTGTTGTACAGGCACCTGTAAGCAGTTCTGGGGAATGTGCAGCTAATGATGATGGCAGAGAGGATATGGGAGGAAGTAAGCCAGGAGGAACCGCTAGGACCAGCACTGCTGCATAGTCATGGGGCCTAATGTACTCCTAAGCCCATCCTATGATGGACCCTGAAAATCATTATTTTCTACCTATCACTTCTATACTTTCTTCCTCTTCTTGGTTCTGAAGAATGTAATTTTCGTCTTGTAACTCCTGCACCATAGGGTCAGGAAGGTGTAGTGGATTGTTATCAAACAAAAAATATTAGTGCTTCAAAAAGTTAATTTGGAGACAGATAAAGTAGTTCAGTGATAGAGAAGGCAAGTGTGGCAATTACACGGCAAGAATGACAAATCCTATTGCATTTTTAAGTAAATGAGAAAATGGGACAGAGAAAAGGCAGAGAGTAAGAATGCAATGAAAAAGACAAGTTGCTAACATTTAATGTTGTTATCTGAGAGAAAAGAAGCTTCAGAATGAATAGCATGGAAATTATTGTATGAAAGATGGCAGTAATTCAGCATATGTTGTCCTTATTTTTCTGGGAGCTATTATTTCAAAAATTTTACAGTCGGAATTCTCTGGTGTCCCTTCCTTTGTGATGCATCACTTTATTCAAGCACTTATTTATGTATGTTGTCTTTTATTTGGACCTGTGTGCACATGGCTGGAATCTTTGGCCAGCAGTCTTTGTGGGAATTATGTACAAAACTTGATACTCTCTGCACAGAAGCATAAATAGTAGAATAGCACCAATCATAACTCAGTTCATTCTTACCACCCTTGGCTACAAAAGGCCCAGTGCTTACTTGTCAAGTAGGAGATCTTAGGTGTGTGGGGAGGAGCTTGGGGGGGGGCAGTATTTCTGTTTGTTTAGGATTTTAGATCTTTATCTCTAGATCTTTATAAATACTGGCATTTTAATTTGCATTAGAGCATGTACTCTTTGAAGCTTCTTATGAGTTTCACTTTAAGAAGTTTTCACGTTTCCTTATTTTAAGTATCATTCACAATGAAGGCCTGCAATATATGTGAATAGTTACCACTAGAAGTCTGACTTTTGTCTGGGAGAGTTGTCCCCATCTTCAGCAGATTTTCCTTTTGTAACTCCTTTGGAAGCCAAAGGAGCTCATTTGAGTATGGTAGTAGGCAGTGTCTCATTTGACAGTCTACAATCTATGTGCAACCTCTACAGCACCTCCCAGGAGATCGTTCCCTTCATTATGACCCTGCAGTCCTTCAAGGATACTCATAGGAGACTTTTGAGCTGAAAATTTAGCTAAGGAAGCAATGAAATCTATCTCTTCCTTCTCCTTAGATTAAGCAATGCTTCAACTCTCACCCAAGCCGTTCTAAAACATATTAAGGTTTGCATGTAAGAATTAAGGGCTTTTTGCACAGGCAGTGCTGAATGAAGTTTTCAGTCTTTAGACAATTTTTTTTTTTTTGTAAACTCGTATGCCTAAGGTTCATGGCCTTCTTCATTAATCAGATTTAATGGAATCCTGCCAAACCAGCATAATAGATACCATAGAAAGGATAAACAAGAAGTATCATGTCATCTTGGAGCAGAACACTTATGCATGGTAGATGACTGGGACTGCTAATCAAAAATATGATACTAAAAATAAAGAACTGAAAATCCTGTGGTTTTTTTTTTTTTGCTCTGTTCTTTTGCTGCAAAATAAAATGTTATTCCTGTGCAAACTGTCAATATAATCTAAACAAGCTGACATATTTTTTAAAATCATCATAGGGAAAACAGCTTAATACAGGAAGGTGTTTTATTTACTTTTTCACATAAACTTTGCGCTGGATTGCTTAGCAGTTAGGGTATGGACTTGACCTAGACTGTTATGCTTACTTGCTCTTCCTTTGACTTGAGAATTGCTTCCGCTTCTTCCAAAAAATGTGCAACTTGAACAGACTGGTTCCAGAAATAGTCTGCCAAATCCTCCATCCAGTTCTGTGCTGTTTCTATTGCCCACCTCTCCCTTTCTTCCCCTTTGAGGAGCTGTCTCAAAAAAACAACTACAATGAAAGTGTTTTTTTTCTTCTGCCTCATGTTTGTTATTACTTAGAAAAAAAGGATTCTGATCTATCTAAACATCAAAGAACGAGGGCTACCAGGAGCCAGTTCTTCCGTGTGTTATCTGACACCTCAAGCCAGGATGTTCACCTTAACATCTACTGTTCCAACTCTAGTTCTGTTAAGCTAGTTTGGTACCTTTCAGCTTACAAGGTGCTCATTTCCAAGACTTTTAAGTATCCATTTTGTTAAATCATGTACTTGCTAAGTACTGGCGTAGTGGAAAAAGCCTCTACTAAGTAGACTTACTCTGTTAAGTGGATTTACAAACTGCGGGCCCAGCTGCAGCCTTTTATTTCTAGGTCTCATCACGCTACTTGTTTTCCAGAACACAAAGTATTCTGGAAGAGTACATACGTCTTCTGATTTTGTTCATAACTTACTGTGGGGAGATTTGGAGTATCTTCTTGTTCTAATGTGATGACATTCTTGAAACACTTCACCACAGTCTTTTCCAAGAGTAAATGAATCTTCTAGTTAAATTTAAATGTAATTTAATGAAAATCTGCATTTAGTGGTAATCAAATTATATAGGACAATCAGGAAGATAGAGGTCTTCATAGCAGGACTGTTTAAATCTCTGAGAGAGGCAGTTTAAATCCATTATACTGTGTACAGAGATACATAGCCTTTTCTTTACAGAAAACAAAGGCTCCTCCTGAGAATTTTCAGATAATTTGTCTTGTTTGGAAAGTCTAATAGGTCATCTGATTTCAAAGAGTGTCTTTACACATTCCAGGTTTTATTAAGGTTCATTATTACATATCTTCAAACAAGATCAAGTTCGTTGTGCCGGAACTCTAGCAACATCTGTGTTTTTTCTCAGGCATTTTACAACTGAAACCCCCACAAAACAGCCACTTGGGAAGTAGTACCAGCTTTTATGAAATGCTATTCCATTAGAAGAATATATCCTTGATATTTTATTATTCTTTGGCAGAGCTGTATTAAAGTTCCTCCTTAGCCAGGCTTTAAATCTTTGCATTGAGATCAGTTTAGATTATCTAAATGAGTGGAAGGGAAAGCTACTCCAGCAGTAAGTGGAGCGTGGTTACGTGGCACGGTGGCATATCAGCACCTAGGGACATCCGTAACTCCAGAAGACATTGTTAGCCAAAGATTCTGATCTAGAGAGCCTTGTAGTTATGAGTGTTAAAAATAGCAAATTTATATATATACATACCCCTAGGAACAAGACATCTTGAAAAAAGTTTTGTACAAATAAATGCTTTTTTTTTATAATTACAGCTTCCACATTAGAATTGTGGTACTCTGGGTAGCACTGAGTATTAGAGTACGGCAGTTGAGATTAGAAACTGGAAATCTGGAAATTGATTCCTGGTAGGAGTCTGACGCTAAGGAGCAGAATAGATACTTAATAGATACTTAAATAATAGATATCTTAAATAGATACTTAGTAGATACTTAAAGCCCTTTCCTGTATTTAGCTTGTCATATTTAGTGGTTTATTTTGTTTTTCAGGTTGTTCACAGAGACCTGAAACCTAGCAATATTCTTTATGTTGATGAATCTGGTAATCCAGAATCAATCCGAATTTGTGATTTTGGCTTTGCAAAACAACTGCGAGCAGAAAATGGTCTTCTGATGACTCCGTGTTATACAGCAAATTTTGTTGCACCAGAGGTAACTCCTGCCTAACTTACATGCCTTGATTTATTTTGAGTTTTTTTAAATTAGTTAGGTGTTTCTTTCATTTTTGTATAACAAGTGCAATCACTTCACAAACAATAAGTATTTGAGATATCACCATTTTTATGGCATAATCAAAGCATCCCTAAGCACTTTTTGCAGAAAAGTATTTGTCTCCTTCAGGTTTTAAAGAGGCAAGGTTATGATGCTGCGTGTGACATATGGAGCCTTGGTGTTCTACTTTATACAATGCTTACTGGGTAAGAATATTTTTCACGTATTTTTGTTTGCTTTAGAATAGCAAACCTGTGTAAACAAAAAGAATAATAATTGTAGGTCCACTGTTGAAAATGTTTGCATCAAGGCACTAATTAATCTCAATTTGCCTGGCTTCAGTGGGAGTCTGAGTTGAATGTGCTTTGGCTTTAGTAGAATCCAAGTTTGCAGAGACTGATGCAAAGAAGTTTGTGTTTCGTGTCTCGTTTTAGGTGTCTAGTTTCTGCTTCATGATGATTTAGGAGTAAGAATTAATTGTTTCATGTGAAAAGTAGCTGATTAAGCAGCATATATGTTGAGGGAAATATATGTGTAGCATGTTTCGAAGCACGATTGTATGCAAGTCAGCCATTGGATAAGTTTGGAATGATGCAGTTAGGATATAATTCATACAATAGAAACACATTTATTATATGCAACAGAATGACTTTTAAAAAAGGTGATGATAACAAGTTCAACAATAGTTTCACAAGTTCAAAAATAGATAAATTCTCATTTTTGTTTGGGGTTGTTTCATTAGCAGCAAGAATGCTTATAGTGAAGCAAGTAAAATTGCTGCACCTTACTTCCGCTAGTATCAAATCAGCACGTATTCTTTTTCACATCAACTGAAGTGTTCATATTTAATCTTATAACAGCTTGTTTTATTATTTCACTAAGACAGAAATGCTTAAGGATTCCTTTTTATAATTCAGAACCCACCAGTACTTAGACTGGATACAGGAAAAAAATATGTTTTTTTAGAGCCAGTACATGGGGAATAGAGTAAGAACAAATTTTTAGTCATTATCTGTCATGGATGTTCACCTCTTAGCTGTTAAAAGAAATTATTCCTAATTTGACTACAGCTAGCACCATGTAAATAACCGTGTTAACCTGTAATTATGTTGAACTTGCTGAATATTGTGATCAGGTTATGGAAGTTAACATTGAAATTGTTTGGTTAATTAGCTACACTCCTTTTGCAAATGGTCCTGATGATACCCCAGAGGAGATTTTGGCCCGAATAGGTAGTGGAAAATTCTCTCTCAGCGGTGGTTATTGGAATACAGTTTCAGATACAGCTAAGGCAAGTATATTTATTTTATTCTTTGGGGGATGAGAAATGGATTTCAATGTAACATGTTGCTTATGTTGCATATAGCATATCTTACATGATTTGGTAAGTTTTACTCATTGCTACTGTTATTTTAAAATACTGAGCTGATCTTTTTTATGCATAAAAGATCGTTTCCTAATTTTGATCCCTTCATGTTTCAACAGTCAGTCACTAGGAAGTCAGTATGAAGAAAAACATATATTCCTTTATACCATCATTGTTAACGAGTATATTTGTATTTCTGTAGACATTTTTTCAGTATTCACACGCACACACACAGAATCACAGAATCGTTTAGGTTGGAAGGGACCTCTGGAGATCATCTAGTCCTACCTCCCTGCTCAAGCAGGGACCTCTAGAACATATTGCTCGGGATCACATCCAGACGGGTTTTGAATATCTCCAGCGAAGGAGACTCCACTGCCTCTCTGGGCAACCTCTTCCAGTGCTCTGTCACCCTCACAGTGAAGAAGTTTTTCCTCATGTTCAGGCGGAACCTCCTGTGTTTCAGGTTGTGCCCATTGCCTCTTGTCCTGTTGCTGGGCACCACGGAGAAGAGGCTGGCTTCATCCTCTTGACACTCCCCCTTCAGATACTTGTACACGTTGATGAGATCCCCTCTCAATCTTCTCTTCTCCAGGCTGAACAGGCCCAGCTCTTGCAGTCTTTCTTCATAGGAGAGGTGATCCAGCCCTCTAATCATTTTGGTAGCCCTCCGCTGGACTCCCTCCAGCAGTGCCATGTCTCTCTTGCACTGGGG